GATAAATTACTACGTAGCATACAGTTGTAACCCTATCCAGTCCCCAAAAATACTTTGACACGTTTCGACTATTTTGGTGTATTTTTTTGAGTAAATTCTATAAAAAATGCCTAGTTATAGTTCATTTTACATATTTAGTCACTACATATCAAATATCTATATTTTAGTCTCGAATTATTATATTATTTTTCACGAATTGTCCTTTGTTAACATTTCCGTTAAAACGTGGAAAAATTTATAAATTCACATTCCTCTCTCTTCAATTAATCTTACTCTCTCCTCTCGCACTTCTTTTCCAAACCTATAGTTTGAAGCTTTGAACCCAAAACCGAAATCATCCCTCCTCTCTCAATTGTTCGTCATCCAGATGGAGTCCAAAATCAAAACGAGTAACCTTCATGTATGAGTTTTAAGGTTTGTTTTCTTTGCAATTTCTTGAGACCAACCCATAAAGTTCATCCATAAAGGTTATTGGTTTCGATGTTGGGTCACCGAGAAGATGAACAATTGAGAGAGGATTGATCGTTTTGATTTTGGGTTTAGTGCTTACCACTATACTACAACGACTTGTTTGATCATTGAATGGGTCGCATAAATTCAACGTAATCAATTTCCCGAAATTGATACCGTTGCAGGGGAATAAGAAAATGAGAAATCTCCGTCTCCAACTATCACTATACTGTCATTTCGTGAATACTCCCTTGTCCACTTGCAGGTGTTTTCATTCATGGCAGATGACATGTCAAGAAGCTCCTCGAAGGTGGTGTAGAAAGAGGATTTACCTTAGAAGAAATGCAAGTAAGCTTCTGGAAAGTGGTGCAGAAAGAGGGTTTACTGGAGAAGAAATACAAATGAAGATTCTTAAACTCTAGAAGGTGGTGTTGAAAGAGGGTTTATTAGAGATATGCGAATGAAACTTCTCCTAGCCTGGAAGGTGGTGGAGAAAGAGGGTTTAATTTCAAGAAATGCAAATGAAGATGGTGTAGAAAGAGGGTTTCAAGAAATGCCAAAGTTATGAACATGCCACAACAATTTTTTTATTAAAAATTACACTAAATATTTTCATAACCGAGTACATCTTTTTTGTATTTCAATTTCTTTTCGAGCGATACTCTAAATTACTGCTCAATAATCCATTACTATATTTCTCCCAAAACATAATACAAGATTTGAAAATCGTTATATTTAAAAAAAATTATGAAAAATCTCTAATAAGAGTGTACTATTATATTTCTGAAAACACAAATTTTAAATTTTAAAAAACAACTAGTGTCAACCACGTGCTTCGCACAGCCTCATATACATTCTAAATTTTTGACATTCTATAAATATAATTTTATTTATTTTAAATGAATATTTTTTCACTCTAAGATATACGGAGTATATTTTTTAAATAAAAAGTATACTTTAAATATTGATGTACATGCACTAAAAATTCTATAACTATTTAATTTAAAAAATATTAAATTAAATAAACCATAAAAATGCCAAAAACAATTTAATATCTTTGAAGGTGAAATATTTTTTCATTTTCTGAAAGTGAAATATTTTTTAAATTAATAATAAAGAGTCTTATACATACTCTTCTTTATAATTTTACAATCAATATGCATATTTAAAATACAGAGTAAATTTTACAATAGTGAAATATATGTTTATAGAATTGTTAGAAAATGTTAAATTTTATACAAAATATAATCAAAGTAATGTTTTTTAATGCTTAAAAATAATATTAATTTAATATAATACAATAAAATATATTAAAAGATCCTTTTAAAAATAAGCTTAATGGACCAATGAAACTACTTCCACCTCATACATTAGTGTACATGTGGAAGAATACACTCAAACCAATGAAAATACTTCCACCACAAACAATACACTCAACTTTACATATATATATAGAATAGAATAGAATATATAGAATATAGAATAGAATATATAGAATATAGAACATATAGAATAAAAAGTGAATTTACCTAAAATTATCCCACGTTACATTATTTACAAAAAAACATTTTTCAAAAGTTCCGTTAGGCGACCGTTTGCTTCTTAATGGCGATCCAAAACTCACAAACATGTAAAAAGATGAGATTATTTTTCGTGACAATGAAAAGTAAGATTATTCTTGAAAAAATGTGAAAATGTGAGATTATTTAAAATAATTTTTCCTTATTAATATTACTAAAGGGAGAAAGACCAAATTAGGACTAAAACATTGAAAATATACCGAAATAGGACTTCCATGTTTTTATTCCCGAAATAGGACTTATATTACCAAACATGGTCATATACATTACTAAAAAAGTATAGTAATTTGCACATGTACACTGCCACATTACCACAATGCAAAGTCACATTACCACAATGCAAAATCCTATTCCGGAAAAAAAAACATGAAAGTCCTATTTTGGTACTTTTTTCTATGTTTTAGTCCTATTTAGGATAGGATGATTTCCAATTACTAAAACTATGTAGAGAAGGTATATGGTACAACCGGATGTACGTTATATCCGAGTAGTACTCATTCTCGCACAAATATAATTAGCGTGATACTCATTCTAAAATAATGCAGTACTCATTTCATACATTGGTTCAATATAATTATAATATTTATCTACAAATAATGTAGTGTTAATTCTGAAACAAAAGAATAATCATTCTTAAATAATTTAATGCCTAAAATAAAATCTAATTTGCAATGCAGTTTAGGTTTATGTGATCTGGGTACTATTGACCAGGCTACAAGGGGAAGAAGGAGGAAAAACCCTAAGCCTAAAGGTACGAGTTGAAGTTGTGTCGCACCATAATCTCTCTTCTCAGAAATCGTAATCATCATCATCTTCATCATCATCAAAGACAGCCATGGATGCTCTGAGGAAGCAGTTGGACGTGTTGATGGGATCCAACCGGAACGGCGACGTTACCGAGGTGGATCGGAAGTACTTCGACCGCGACGTCTGCCGCCTCTTCCTCTCCGGCCTTTGCCCTCACGACTTATTCCAACTAACTGTTCGTAACAATCTCTCTTCTCCCTCGGTTTCGCCTTTCATATTCTGTACTAAAAGAGGATTTCAATGCTTCTATTTGTAGTATATGCATACACATACACTCCGCAGTCATTAGGGATTAACATTGTATCGTATAAACCATTTCCCTATATTCAAAAGGATATTGGTGCTTTTATTTGTCTACGGGTCACTCTACCTATAAAAGGGTTAATTCCCAACAAATTTCAAGTTGATCATCACATTTGATTCTTGCTATGATTTTCAATATTACACAAGAAGTAGGGATTAGGGAGTACAAACTATCCCGAACATTTTCTTGTTTCTTCAATGACGTTTCTGCTTTGGTTGTTCTATTTTGGTTTTGAAATGAATGAGTGCATTGGTGTTCTCAATTTCACATTGTCCCTATTCTGCATGCAAATATTATGAATTAAGAGTATTTACAAAGAAAGGTTGGTGTGGTAGTTGCTGCAACTTCAAAAGGAGTGATTTCCTTTTTTAAAAACTACACACATGTTGAATTGGGATGATAGAAGTATAGGGTAAACATGGGATGGGTGCTTCCAAGGTGCACGAAGTTCTTGTGGAATCATACTCAGCTAGTAATGGAGTAGTTGATTCATTGACCAACTGAGGAGTGAGGACATCAGCTGATTATGTTACCTCCCCCACCCCACCCCCCGAAAAATTCCCATAGGTTTATGCTTTCGCTCTGAATTCCCTGTAAACCAGACGAACTGCAGTGGTGTCTAGGCCCTTTATTTCCCAGATATTTCACTTCCACAGTTACTACCAATGGCGTACTCCAACATGGTCATTTATGTTGGTTTTATTGCATTGCAGATTATATTTATTTCTTTATTGATTACTATTTTTTCTGGTGCTGTTAGTAATTGTATTTTATCTCTCCTCTGTGCAGAAAATGGATATGGGCCCTTGCCCAAAACTGCATTCTTTACTGCTGAGGAAAGAGTATCCTCATGGTTACGTAAATAACACATGCGTTTTGTTTTATCCCTTTAGTCATATGTGAATGATCTTTTGAACCTTGCCAAGTTGCCAAAAAAACTATCTTACTCACAAATTTTAAATATGTTCAAGGTATTTTTAGATTTGGCTGAATATTCAGTGTCTATTATTTTTGACATACAAAATGCATGATAAGGAGTTTCAGCCATTTTGTTCACCAAATACTCTTTTTTTGGTGCTGTTTTGACTTTTCTCTGGAGACAAGGGGTAGATTTGTAGGGTGCGTTAAACCTGGTCCTAATGCCCTCAAATGGCTTGGTGTCATATTATGACACAAAGGACTGGTGTCAAAGGAACCGGACTTTTATTGTATGAAATATAAAATTAAAATATTTTTTACTTGAATATCAAAAATGCAACAAACTGTAAAAGGTTTAGGATGAATTTTTTACAAAAAATAATGAAAAATCAGCATTTCTTTGGAGTAATTGCTACTTACTTGGCCCATGTCTTCCTCATGCGCACAATATTTCTGAAAACTGGCTGTTATCAATGCAGTCTATTGGTCATTCAAAAAGCAGTCATCTGGTTTTTTGGTTCTTGTAGAAAGTATATTAGAGCTTCTGGGGTTTCAAGCAAAAAGTGTTATTTTGAATGTGTGAGAGTCTGTTTTTGTGAACTTTATCTATCATGACTATTATTCAATTATTTTGGTGACATTTCTGCTTGTATGTAGTCACTATCATTGTTACCTTAATCTCTTTTCCTAGCTATGAGGAAGCAAAATCAAAAGGTGTTGATAATTATGACAGAGACTTGGAGGATTTTATTGACAGGCTTATTATTGAGTGTGATAGGAAGATATCTAGAGCCCTCAAACGGCTCTCTGAAGAGGATGCCAAAGCTGCTATTGCTATCTCCGTGACTGAAGTTACTCAAGTAGTGCTGCTCAAGTTTGTGTTAGCTTCATATTTTATCTTTTCCGAATTCTGAACTTATGCATTATTCACTTGGCTACAGACACAAGAGACTCTGGAGTTAACCAAGCTAATAAAGCAGAAGTTACAAGAAGCTGATCAAAATGGTAAATTTTCTGGTGTTAATTTCTCAGTATTAACTTGTATTCTTTATTTCACCTCCATTTATTACATATATTGCATGGCCTTTTTTAGAAAGGATTTTGTTTACATATATATTCCCATTCAGATTTTGAAGGCAAAACAGACTTGAAAATTCGAGCTCTTGAAGAGGTTGAAGAACTCCGGACAAAGCGAGCAGACAAACAGGTATGACAGTTTAATTAGATATTGATTGCGTGCTTCAGCGCTCCATGAAGCATGTATGTTTTAGGATTTGCTTGACCAAGCCATGGATAAAATGTTGCACAAGTGCTTTTGGCTAAAAATGGTGTTGAGCAAAGCAGTTCACTAATTGACCTGTTTTATGGCCTAAGTCTTTTTGGATGAATAGGGTGAGTTTTGATCAGGAATGGAGATGCTTATTTAGAATGAGCCTAAATAAGACTTTCCAAAAACATGTTCTTTTTAGTTTCTATTTTGAAGTTTTTAATATTGGTTGATTTTTTTTTAAAAAACAGTTCTTGAAATGGGCCACACTTATAATCTTTAGCTTTTACATCTCCTAAGAAAACTTTTAGACCTTGAGAAGCAAGGCCCAACATAACCTTAATAGTCTATCAAGTTGAACTGTAACCTTGTTTTTCAATGACAGGCAATGTTGCTTTTGGATGCTTTTAACAAAGATCGAGCTTCTTTACCACAGCCACTTCAAAATGCTCCACAGATGGAGCACAGGCCTGCAGCTGCTACAGATTCTCGTATACAGGAGCTAATAAATGAAAAATTAAAGAAAGCTGAAGATCTTGGTATGTGAAAGATTCCTTTATCATATTTCTATAGTAGTTTACTGATCTGACTTTTTTCATTTTAATTTACAATGGTTTGCAATCCATTTTGTTTATTTGTCCATGTAAACCTCTATTCTAGATTTTATGTCATGGTTGGGTTCATCTTACGTGGTCAAAGTTGTGCATTCTGCGATGTCAGGATCATTACCTCTTGTTTGACCATCTATTTATATCTTGCTTTCTAAGCTTTAATACAGTGATGTTTAAGGCATTGAGTGATATGACATGTCATACCATTCTTTCTCTTTTCCTCTCACTTTTATGTTTTTTATATTTTGTGAAGTTTAGGTTGACTGGTAAATCGGTAATGTTTTGTTTCTTCATTCTCTATTTGAAGTCCTCAGTAGTATTCACTTCCCAATAATTAAAACTTCGTATATTTATTCGTTATGCTTACAAATTGATACTCCCAAATTCACAAGGTTTACCAATTAGAGTATGACATACAACCACGACCAAATGAAGACCTTTTAAGTGTAACTCTTGCATATTTACTACTGATCCACAGACAAAAGATACCCTCAAGTCCCACGTCTGGAGTACTTGTCATTAGGAATAGTTATAAAGACGCAAGTCCCACCACTCGCACCTACTCATGAGGATATTTGCTACAGATGCAATGAGAAAAGATACATGTTATTACTTATTATAAATAGATATAACAATATTGTCAGACTCTTGGTGATGGGTAGTACTGAGGTGATCTTATTTATTTTTGTTCTGCCAACAAGGCAGAGCCGTTCTGTGCTAAACAATGGCGAATATCCATTTAAATCACATATGGGGTGCGTTTTTATTTTGACATTGTATTTCGTAATGGCATGTTTGCCAAAAATATGATGTTTCATCATTCATGATTTGAAAATTTCTCTGTTATTATGCAGGCGAACTAGGGATGGTTGATGAGGCACAGAAAGCATTGGAAGAGGCTGAAGCACTAAAGAAGGTCACTGACTGTTTGTGCTTGTAATTGTTTTGTTTGTTACTTTGTATAAAGTTTGTGTGTTTTCCATTTCAGTCATTTGACAACCTGTAATTTTTTATGCCCTGTTTTCATAGCATTCGATTTCTCGCTGGGGATCACCACCATATTTAAGTTGCACTAATCAACTGTGTCTGTTTTCTCTCATGCATTCAGCTTCCAGCACGCCCAGAACCCATCCTCGATTACTCAAAATACACTGCTGCTGATGTGCGCATCGTAAGTGAATCATTTCGTAGTATGTTTATAGAGACTAGTGAGCGTGCAGGATCTGTGATTTAAGTGATAAGATTGATAAAAAGGGTGGTTACAACTCATCAACACAATATTTGCATGTTTGTGATGATTCAAACTAAAAAAAACAACCTAAACAACCATGATTTGTTTGTGTGTGCACATATAGCCAAATACAATCACAAGGGGTAGCGAGATTGTTATTGATTTGATGCTCCAATTTTGACTACTTGAATTTGAAAGACAAGTTGGATGTTTCATTGTTTCATACACAATTTGGGTAAACTTCTATGATCTTTCAATACTGTAAAAACTTAGCAATGAGGTGTCTTGTTTTACTTTTCTACATGCAGGAAGTTGGAACAAAGTGTTTAATTTTCTGAATATATTATTATGAACTTATGTCGAGCAAATCATGTATTAAGTTGTTTTTTACTAATTGAAACATTCTATATTCATGAATGACAATAGCATTAACATGCTTGATGTGTAATTTGGATCACTTGTCAAGTTATGTTATTTGCAGGATTTTATTTGCGATGTTAAGTTAAATGATCAATTTGAACCAGCATAACAGGTTGATTGTGTATTACTGATATATTTGCTATTACCTTTGCAGACGGATCAGAAGCTGCGAGTGTGTGACATTTGTGGCGCATTTTTAAGTGTTTATGACAGGTAAATATTCACTCTCATTTTTGTGTTAAATATGTGCAATTGTTTTAGCTAGAGGAAAGGCATTTGTATTTATGGCACATGAATATTTGACATGGGCATTGCAACTCCTTATATCAACAGGCTTTGGGCCCAATTTTACGAGGATAAACTTTTGCAGCTAAATAATGTGCGTTTGGTTTAAATTTTCTGTTCTTATTCATCATGCTATCATAGGGTCGTACGTAATGGCCAGTTACAATCTGTGTTGCCCCCTGTTCTCTTTTGCTTATACTTTAAAGTAAGAGCACTAAGCTGTGTTTTTTGTTTGTTTGCTTTGGTTTACCCAGTGATCGTCGTTTAGCTGATCATTTTGGGGGAAAGCTTCACTTGGGCTATATGCAAATCCGTGAGAAGTTAGTTGAACTTCAGGTAGGCCAATCTTGTACTCTGAGATTCTTACTTTGCTATTTTTTGAACAGCGGCTTTCATTCGTAAAAAAATGGCTCAACAAAGTAAGCAGAAAAAAATATCCACCCCTCATTTTCTGTGTTTCCTGAAGCAGGAGCATATCAGAATGTGCTTTTATGTAACAAATGAATTATTGTAGCATTTTGCAAATATTATGCTCTATAATATGCACCTTAACAATGCATTGTGCATATTTTCATTCAGGTGCTGCTATAATGTATCAATATCTTCTATAGAGATTCTCAGTTTATAATGTTTCTCTCTGTGAGTTTTTCTATCCTCGGAGAAGAGTGCATCCTTTATTTGAATTGTAAATTTAACAGAAAAGTTAATATCTTTCTGACGAAGCATCCAAAAAATGCATTAGACTAGGAAAAACTGTTGCACTGTGTTTGTCTGGTTGGCATATTGACAATGGTTTTGCTTATTCACAAAAAAATTGGTAAGTGTCTTTCAGATTTATATATGCTTGTTGGCCAGACTGTTCTAGCACCTGAACCTCTATGATCATATTGTGAAACAACTGTACAAATGAGATGGATAAGTGCCATCACCTTATCATCTGTAAGATTGCAAATAATAATTATTCCCTCTGCCCATCTCTATTCAATGTTCCCATTTCCATTTTACACGGGGTTCATAAAAATAGATCATGTATGCTATTTATTTAGAAATTCAATAATCAACATGGATCCCAAAATTCGTGAAATTGTATGATTAGATTCTCTCTTTTTTTTTGTACTTGAGCAATCGCCTGCCCAAATGAGGCCATTGCATGGTTTTTAAATTGGCAATAGACATGGGCACCATTCAGGTATTGTTTTTTTACCAGAAAAAAAGTTTTTTCTCAGGGCGTTGATTTTTTGTACGCATGCCGATTTTTCTACAGTATTCAATGTAGGCTCCTCTTGATTCCAGGAAAATTTTTCCTGTGTTTGGGAAATGATCCTTTGAAAAAAGGAAGCCATTTTTATGAAGGAGTTCTAGTTCTAGGTATATATTTGTGGGTTAAACATTTATGTTGCACATAGAACCATATTATCTAGAGAAAGCATTTTCCGTATAAACTTATTTTTTTGCTAAAAATTGTGTTGAAATCCATATGTTGAGCAAAGCAGAGTTGCATGCATATTGGTTCTTAAGTGTGTCTTGTTTAAGTTGTAACAAATGAGCTCTACTCCTAATTTCCTATTAAGTGTTTGCCTATGCACTAAAATAAATTAAATACGTAGGAATGCGTGATGCCTGTGCCACTTAATTAGAATGCAATCTTGGCAATGACAAATTTTTAACCTTATTTTCTTTGTGATGAATATACAGGAAGGGAAAAACAAGAAAATGAAAGCCTATGAAGAGGAGAGGAAGTAAGTCAATCACGAAGAAAAATTAAGTACAGTTGTTTCTACATAATTTTTTTATCAAGTATTACACCACCAGTCCCTTAGGCCATTTTCACATTTTGGTCATTCTGATAACTATCAGGCCAATATGTGTATGATTTCTGGTTCTTTTTTTCGCTTATTTAGTGATTAGAAAGACCTAATTCCAGTGAAATCCCACAAAACAGGATTCCACATTTATGCATCAAAACTGAAAAATATAAATCTGGTACTGAAAGTGGAATATTTTATGTCAATATCATTTTGGTCATTCTGATAACTATCAGGCCAATATGTGTATGATTTCTGGTTCTTTTTTTCGCTTATTTAGTGATTAGAGAGACTTAATTCCAGTGAAATCCCACAAAACAGGATTCCACGTTCATGCATCAAAAATGAAAAATATAAATCTGGTACTGAAAGTGGAATATTTTATGTCAATATCATCTGCATTTGGTGTTCTTCCACTCCATGTCCTCTTTTATCATCTACTCTTTTTGCATCTCAAAGTTTTGTCCTCGAGGGCAACAATTCCATAGTAACGTGTACTTCTATATCATCATGCAGGTCTAGAGAGCGGAGAAGTCGAGAACCGGAAAGGGAATCTAGTAGGGATCGAGGTGATATCCGTGAAAGGGATCATCATCGTGACCATAGAAGCAAAGACCGAGGTGATAGGTACAGTGACCGAGACCGAGACCGAGGGTACGATAGAGAGAGGGAGCGCTCTCGTGGCTATGATTCTAGGGCTCGCCGCCGGTCACGTTCTCGATCGAGAGAACGTTCCCGCGATTACGATCGCCACAGGTTCCTTTCCCTCTCCTCTTGCCATTACTGTGCTGGTCTTGTTTTAACTCACTCCCTCCCTTCACAATTAACGGCCTGTCAAGACTTTTTGAGATGCATCAAAAGTTGAATGAACATAGACACGATGTATGTTAACATTCATTCAATTATTGACGTATCTGAAAATTCATAATCGACAGTTAATAGTGAATGGAGGTAGCATATCGTTTTCTTACTATATTTTCTCTCTCGTTACATTTTTCAGGCGTCATGATCGCTACTAGGCCAAATACTACTGCCATATTTGTTCGGTCGCTATTTGCACGCTTGCGATCAACTAGCATTTCATTAATATGACCTTTGGTTTTTTTTTTGTATTGAATTATCAGCTTTAATATGTGAAATGCCCGGGAAGCACTTTGGCGTAGTAATCAGAGTTTTTCTTAGAGGTTTGATTAACTTTGTGAACATCAAAGTACTGTCTCTAGGTGTTATGTTGATTTTGTACTCTTTATTTCTCAATGAAAACATGTTCAGCATATTGGGAAAACATCTTCGACTGTTCAAAAAATGTTGCAAGGATAATGAAAATGATTAGTACAAATTAATTAAATTTATGTTATGGAAAACACTTGGACGCTTTGTTATGAAGTAAGGTTTTTGATTATTGTAAGTGTTTTGGATAAAATTTTAAAAGTATTGTTATATCAACCTTCATTTTGTATTAAATGGAGAATTTTTACTCTTAGAAGTGATTGCATCAAAATTTTTCATTTTGTATTTTTGAGATGAAAATTATCAATCTAACATTAATAAATGGAATGGATTTAGCTAAAATGAAGGTGGATATAGCATATTAGCAATACTCAAATTTTAATGGTGTAAATTAATTTTAAAAATTCTAACGTTAAAGATTACTGTTAGATGATTTTTTTAAAATGCTAACACTAAACTTTAAGGTTGTCGTCGGATAAAGTCAGAAATTTATTTCACTTTAGAATTTGTAATCATGTTTGACTCAAGAAAATTAAATTGGATGAATATTTGGGATGGAAGAAGCATTTTTCAACACCGTTAAATAACTAAGGCTTCTTTGGTATACATGATTCAAACTATAGAATTGGAATTGACAAAAATTTGAATTCTACTGTTTGGTATCACAGTGGATTTGGGATTCGTAGTGCTAAAAATGAATTAAAATTGGAGAATTCAATTTCATCCAAATCAATTCTATAGAATTTGACCTCCCAATTCAATTCTAATTCCATCAATTTTGTGTACCAAACGGACCCTAAGCGTTACTCTACCAAAGCCAAATTGAATGCATCTTGTGTAATTAGCTTAAAAGGTGAGATTTTTCCCAGCTAAACCAAATGTCAGATTATTAGTACTTCCTCCAAAAAAATATAGTTTCAATTACTTTATTGGCTTTCTAATAATTTTATTTATTCGTACATTTTCATTAACTATTTAAAAAATAAATTATTATTGTTTTATACTAAAGTAGTAGTAGTTTTGAAATATATAATTTATATTACTTTTAATTTTTTACATCAATTTGAAAATAAGTTTTCTAAAAGAAATGTAATTTTATACGTTGTTCAAAATGAAACAATATTCTTGGGATACGAGAGCATTAACCTTCTAGGGAAATTTTTAATTACTCTCCATGAATTTTTCCTGATTTTTCAGCCCAATTTTTGTATTAGGTAGTAGTTTAAATGAATTAAAGGTAGCCTTTTTTTAAATGACGTTATTTGGACACAGTGAATTGGAAAGCTTTAATTCATATCCTATGCACTATGAATTTTCCCAGTCTATAACTTGGATCAAATTACCTACAATAATTATAGTTATCAGTCTCATATGGTATTAAAGCTCTTAACAAGCAAAAAAGTCATAGCCCATTTGGCGAGGGAAACAGAGTTAATATGATTTAAAGTCTGAAAATTGAAAAATATGACATAAAAAACATAAATTATAATTGAGGAAGATGTATCAAAACTTCCAAATTAATATTTCCCAAATTAGAAAGAAGACTCTCAATTATGAAGGTCATGATATAAGTAGATATCATAATCCAAACCCTATTTAGGCTTTCACCAAATACCCACAACTATTTTTTGATATAATGAGTAATTTATATTTCACGCCCTCACCAAACAAGCCCTTAGCTACCCTTTAAAGAGTACCTATACCATATATTCAAATGTATGGTATTTCTCGTGCATCCGCATGAATATTCATTTTCGGGTAAAAATGAGTATTCAATTACTCGAAAAAGAGTATTCAGTTGTTTCAAAATGAGTATTCAATTACTCGTAAATGAGTACTCACTGCGGATGTACGGGAAACACCGTATAACCGGTTGTATGGTATGTATTGCGCTCTTCAAGAGTACTTGAAACACAGTTGATATGAAAAAAGCATGCATCACATATAATATACACATAAACATAAACAAAAGTTGTTATTGTTTGCCTATCACAGACAACTGAAGAAGATGGATTCTATGAAGGGACCACCACACATACAATAACAGTATCTTTTTTTAGGAAGAAAAAAAAGGAGCCACCACTCATTCCTTTTGGGGATCTTTAAATAAAGGTTTTGCCACAAAAGAGAGTAATAATATAAGGGGAACTTACCCTTTTAGAGCATAATCTCTCTGCCAAAAACCCAGCTGAAAGGAACAGCAAGACTCTTCTTCTGTTTGGCCCTTCCTTGTGCTCTCTCTTCCAGTTTCCTAATCCTCGGA